ATTAAAAAATGTGACCACAAACTAAAAAATTAAAATGGATAAATTTGTCAATTAAATTAAAAAATTTTAATCCGTTAGCGGTTTGGTACAAAAAGCTACATAAACTAACTTTTTCAATCCGCTCGCGATTTAAACCCTAACCTCTATTCGCTAATCTCAAACAGCTAAATAAAAATTTTACCAAATACTTTAGTCGTAACGGTTTCAAAATATATAAATTTACTAAACATCTATATTTAGTGGTTTAGGTAAAACCGCTACCTCAAAACCGCTATATCAAACGGGGCATTTATTTTGGATAGTTTAGCTATCTTCCAGTTTGAATTTATTACCCTTGCCTCGGCTCTAGTAAGATGTTTGTCACCCGAAATTAAACGAACAAAACAAAAGGAAAGGTGAGGAAGAAAGCACATACAGGTTGCCATAGAATTGACCTATAAGGCCGTTTAATTTCGAAGGGACAAAATTTTGACATTATTATGCACGATTATAGTTTTACATGGTAATTGATGTTTAAACTTCTATAAAAACTTATTGGTAGTGCATATTTGAGCCTTTGATATAGTGATAACTTAATGTTACAATATACAAGTTCATGTTCCAAACATATCAACCAATTAGCATATAAATGACTTATAAATTAATTAATCACTAAATATAAAAATTAATAGGAATTTTACGAGCCAGGACTCAAATCTAGGACCTAAAATACCAAGGATCCTCCCCTTAAACATAAAGTCAAGACTTCAATAGTGGGGGAATCAATTAATGAGTCAAGGCCTTATCCCACACACACACACATATATATGTCTTCCTCCATAGTATGAAGATAATATTCCCACATATTGATGATTTCTAATACTTCTCATGCAATCTTCTCTCCAAGATATTCTCTTTGGATTATGAAATCAAAGAATGTTGAATTAATGTTTTTCCCTTGTGGCACTACATGATGTGCTATAATAGTTAAGGAGAGATTTGAACCCACCTTTTTATTAGTTTTTCTTTTTATTTATTTTTTCTTGTTAATATGCAATTCTTTTAGTTTTTATCATTTGCAATGAAAATTGTTAAGAGAGAGAGAAAAACTATAACTAATTACTCATTTTGTTTCAAAATAATTGTTTTTTTTTAATTAAAAATTTGAAGATAACTTATGTATAAAGAAAATAAAATATAACTAGAGACTTTTTGTGATATACTAATCTATTATAATAAATTGATAAAGACAAAGTTAAAAATATATATTTGTCTATTTAAAAAATGAAAAAATGATAATTGATTTAAAATAAATTTAAAATAAAAAATAATAGTTATTGCGAGGAAGAGGGAGTCGATTACATGATTTAATTACCTTAGAGGGATTTAGAACTCTATCGAATGTCATCTGACCTTGAGAGGGTAAGATGTTTATGTTTTTCAAAACGAAATTATGGAAGGCAACAAAAGGATGTAAACCACAAAGTTCCACC